AAATGAAAACAACTTTGAAAGACTACAGAAGTGATTGATGCATTGAGCAACCATGACTTCAGAAGACTAATGGTAAGATGTGCTGTCCACTTCTGGGTATGTGACAGCCATCCATGTTTAAGTATGAATAACATGGAGAATGGTTTGGCTTGCCTGTGCTTACTTGACACAAGAGAAGATTTCTGTCAGGTGGGGCAGGGGAGGGGAAAAAAGAGGGGAGGGCAAGTTAGTGGGTAGAGATTGGGGAAAAGAAAGAAAGAAAGAAAAGAGAAGGAATGAAGTATTAAAATACACAGATGTAGGGGCAGCTGGGTGGGGCAGTGGAAAGAGCACCAGCCCTGAAGTCAGGAGTACCTGAGTTTAAATCTGTCCTCAGACCGAACACTTGACATTTACTAGCTGTGTAACCCTGAGTAAGTCACTTAACCCCAATTGCCAAAAAAAAAAAAAATACACAGATGAAAACAAAAAGTTCAAAGATGGACAAAGACAAACAGAATAATTTTGTCATTGCTGGGCTAAATTTAATATGAACTTTAAAACAAATCATATCGAATAGTTGAGAGTTTCACAGTCATACAGTCATGGATCAGCGATTCAGAACTGAAAAGGAAGTGGGAGGCTATTGGCCCAACCCCCTCCTTTTACAGATCCGCTTTCTGGTTCTTCACAACTGAAATGTTTGTGCTTATTGGTGATTATTGAGTTTATAGTGAAAGGGGAAATTTTAAAAAAATGTTTTAAATATAGATGCACACAGAGTGAAAACAAGGTAGTGAAACAAAATCTTAGGTTTAGGGTGAAGGAAAAGTCAGGAATTTCATCCTTTTATTGAGATACTGCAATAATATAAATAGGTCATGTCAAACACAAAAACGAGGCACTGCAGTATGCTTAAAGGCATTAGACAGTTTTCATTTCATTTCATTTCATTTGGAGGCAATCAGGGTTGAGTCATTTGCCCAGCATCACACAATGGCACAAGCAGGTGTCTGAGGCTTGATTTGAATTCAGGTCCTCCTGATTCCAGGGTCAATGTTTTATCCACTGTATCATTTAACTGCTCCAAGAAAAAATTTAGAAATTACTTAACATATATGCACCAGACAGGTATGGTAGCCCATGCCTATAATCCCTCCTATTGGGAGGTGGAGGCTTGTGGAAAATTTGGGTTCTGTTCTGAGTCTCAGTAGGGAGGCTAGGTGGCACAGTGGATAAAGCACTGGGCCTGGAGTCAAAAAGACTCTTCTTCCTGAGTTCAAACCTGGACTCAGACACTTATTAGCTGTATGACCCTAAGCAACTCACTTAACCCTATTTACCTCCATTTCCTCTTCTGTAAGATGAGCTAGAGAAGGAAATGGCAAACCACTCCAGTATTTTTGCCAAGAAAATCCCAAATTGGGTCATGAAGAGTCAGACATGACTGAAAAATGGCTAAACAAAAGGGCTAAAGCTTATTGGATGTCTGCAATGAATCCAGCATATGATATGACTCATAATTATGCCTAAGGAGGGGCAAGGTCAGAGAAATGGAAAGAGTTAAAGTTTTAGTGCCAAGCCATATTTCAGTTAGGCTCATGAGTGACCCAGTGTACTTTCTGCTTCGAGGAGTAAGATAGGGTGAACTAGTTGCAAAAGAGAGTAATAACAATAATAACAATGATAATGATAATGATAACAATAAATATATACATAAGTTCTAACTTCTCAAAAGCAAAGTTAAATGCTTTGCAAAACAGGCATTTATTGATAGTAACACAGTAATAGTAGGAGATTTTAATATTCCTCTCTAAGAGCTGAATAAATCCGGCAGACAGATAAGAAAGAAAATACCAGAGTTAAAGAAACTGTTGGGGGAAAAAATATTGTCTGACATGGAGTAGCCAATTAATAAATATTTGTTGATCAGTGGAGACAAATTTTAAATGGCGAAAGTAATAAACACATCCTTTATAGATAATAACGCAAACAAAATTGTAATGAAAGATGTATATATAATGAGATTATTATATATATATATATATATATATATATATATATAAATGAGTAAGTCAAAGAAGTCACAGGAACAATGAATATTTATATTAAAGAGAATAATAATAATGGGAAAACAACAATTGGCAGGTGGATAGAATTCTGGCCCTGGATTCAGAATGTATGAGTTCAAATCCTGCCCTAGATGCTTACTGGCTATGTGACCCTGGGCAAGTTACTCAACCTCTCTCTTACCAAATTTCCTCATCTGTAAAATGAGGATAACGGTACCTACTTCCCAGGGCTGTTGTGGGGAGAGAAATGAGATAATATTTGTGATGAAACTTTTGTAGCTAAATAATTATTATTGTATATAATTAATATATATTTAGACATGAAATAATTATATATGTAATATATTCTATGTAGTATATAATTATTAATAACAACATTGTTATTATTGTGCACAGCTAAAGCCATCTTCAGAGAAGATTCAGAACTAAAATATATTAACGAAATAGAAAAAAATCAACAAACTGAACACGAAATTTTCAAAAGACTAGAAAATGAAAAAATTAATACTTTAATCCAAAAAAATAAATCGTGAAAATCACAGAAGAAATAAAGAGACTTGAGAATAGAAAGACTGTAGAAAAGATAACAAATGATAACAAAGCCAAGAAGAGGTTTTATTTTCTAAAACACTAACAAAATCAATTAACAAAGGAAAATTAACAGGAAAGAGAAAAGAAAATCTAACTACCAAAATGAAAAAGCAAATTCATAATGGAGAGAAAATAGAATTGCCAGAAGCTCTCATACACAAATATATCCTCATTATAGCAATTGATTCACATTGACTTAACTTCCTTAGGAAATGATAATGAGCAGTGCCAATGTCTATTCCTTCAATTCTTTCCCACATTTCATTTCAACAGTTATATAATTAATCAAGGCTGAAGTTAATTTAATTACACACAATAAGTTTTCACATTTATTATTTCTTCTAGGCTTTTCTCCATTTTTACCTTTATTCTGACAAATCAATAATCTGACTATACATCAACAGCTGACTCGGGAATGATTCTCACATCAATAATGAGTCATTTCCTGCTTGTTAAAATTTATTATTATTGTGACTGGAGTATAAAGTTAATCAGACCATCCCTAATCAATGATTTCCTCCCAGACTAATTCATGGAATCACAGTGGGAAAAAACAGTAGGTAGTAGAGACAACAAGGTGTTAAGGTCTTGAACAAAATGCAAAGACGTGTCTAGACAGTTACTCCTTTATAAAGTATGCAAAACTTTTATGATCAAAAATGGATGGAATTAGAGGGCAGAAATCATTTAATAGCTAGTATCAGTCATGACCCTGATGACCTTTAAAAAAAATTGGACGCTTCTGTAGGAAAGTGGAGGCAAGTTGCAGCTTTGAGGAGTATGAACCTCTGGCAGCAGAGAAAAGAATCAACTCTTCAGAGAAATTATCTCTAGCCTTTGAGGGTAAGAGGATTTCTCTCTTCCCTCCCCCCTACTCATTTGTCACAGGTTTTAAAGCAAAGAAAATTTCTCACTAGGCAACACCATACCTACCAAGGAGTAAGCCCAATGAGTCAAGGTGGAAGACCATAAGAACTTTGTGAGTTGAGATTCCAGCTGAGTGACCTACAAGTAGCAACATTGCACCCAGTAAGAACAGCATAAGGATTCTACTGTAAGGGGAAATTGCATTTAGGCCATGCAGTGCCAGGGACATGAGCTGCTTAGGTCATATGTGTTCCTTATGTGTATACTTTTGTATTAACATACTCTACTTTTTGCTTACTCTTCTGACAGAAGCTATGTGTAGTTACGAGAGAATATACATTGGGGTACACTCTAGAGGGCCAGAGAGGAAATGGGGAGGGATACACAATCTTGAAGGCTGATTCTTGATTCTTGACTTTCATACCAACATTTCTATAATGGCTATGAAGACTTACACACTTGATGTGAAACAAGATTTCCTTCAGTGCTTCAAGGATTGTGATCTAATTGATATGGGTTCTTTTTGCCATGGCATAGAGGCTAATTCTACAATGCCTTGTCAGATTTCAGAGTTTGGTCAGTCAAAAAATTCAACTCCTTCACCCAACTTTGTGATGAACTTCTCTGAACATAGCTTGGCCAGCACCAGATATGCTCCAATTACTGGGCCAACCTGGCAGCCTCTACAATTTGTTTTTAGTTTTGTTTTAGGTAATTGGGGTTAAGTGAATTGTCCAGGGTCTCACAGCTATTAAGTGTCAAGTGTGTCTGAGGCCATATTTGAACTCAGGTCCTCCCGACTTCAGGCCCTGTGGATACTGCACCACCTAGCTGCCCCAGAGCCTCTACAGTTTGGAAGGACTTATATTTTAACCCTTAGCCTTCAAGATCCCAGTGGTACCACTATATAATAATGAAGCTCTGGAGCACTATATACTTGTGCAGGAAGAGTGTGACAAAATAGATAGGGAGTTATCCTAAGAGTTAAGAAGACCTGGTTCAAGTCTAGCCTCTAGAAAATATTGTTTACTATTCTTGGACAAGTCAATGAACTTTCACTGCTCTAAGTGAACTTTTCAAGACCAAACTGCCAAGCAGGTGCTGATATAGATTAGTAACAAAAATGACTTCTATTAATGAAATCACAAACAAGTTCAGTTCCCATTCCCACATACATTCAGTAGACATCACTGCCCCTTCTAATGTGGAATTCCAGAAATAGAATCAAATACACACAAAATATTAGTGTTTGATAAAAATGTAGGTAAGTGAAAACTAGGGGAAAGATTGCTGAGTTTGTTAATATTATTGGGAGAACATGATGAAACATAAATTTTGATCCTTGCACCATAAGCTCCAACACATTCCATCTGGATCTTGAATTAAAAATATGAGAATGAATTTTGAGCAGGTTAGAAGAAAAGAGAATAATATATTTATCTTAATTATACAAATCCAATTCCTTTGTAATTATTAAACAAAGACAACACATAAGAGCAGAGGAAGGCTGGTGAGTTTATTGCATAAAATTGCCAACTTTTTCAAAACGACAAATAATTATCAAGGTCAGATTTGGAAAATGTGAATCAAATATTAAAGATAAATCCTAACATACAAAATTTATGAGGAACATATAAGAATATTTGAGTGCGATGCCCCAGCACAACTGAAAAACCCTAGGTGAACAGTTTGCAAAAGGGGACTCAAAGAAAGCACAGCAGAGGACACTGATTACAACTATTCTTCCATAATTGAAGGGCTTGAGATTTGCTTGGGTGGGTGGGTGCTTACTTCCCCGACACAAACAATAAGTTCTCTATGAATGAATAGTTAATCTTCACCATTGCCTCGGGTAAAAATTTGCTTATTCCAGTGGACACTTCTTCCTGAATCTTTATGAATTCAGAGAGACTGGTGTTGGGACAATAGTCATCTGCTCCCACAAATGGAGCTTCTTGACCTAGGTAGGACCCTCCAGGGCTTGTGCTCCACAGGAAGAGCTTGCAGAAGCCTTGCTCACCAGTGCTATGATGAGGCATCAGCAGAGGACATCAGTGAAGGAGGACAACCTCACAAAAGGAAAACATGCAAACCTAGATGAAAAAAAGATGAAAAGACAAATACATTGTATGAATTTTTCATTTAATATTGCATGCATATTTTGTTTCTTGCCCCCTCCCTCCAATGGAAAGTAAGATTCTTGAGGGCAAGGAGTTTCCTTTTTTTTATTTATTTTCTAGACACCTAGTACATAGTAGACATGTAACAAATAAAAATTATGATAATAATAGCTAGCACTTATAAAATACTTTAAAGTTTTCAGAGTGCTTTACAAATATGACTTCATTTGATCCTCACAATAACCCAGGTGGTAGATTTGGAAAGTATGGATCATTTCTTTACAAAAATAGCCATGAAATTGAATACAGTAGTAACGACACTGCCATGCTCCCATTTCTGTGTTTTGAGCTGATTCTTCAGCACCCTGCTGTCTTGAGCACTGCCCCCCTTCCCATTCTTCCTACCCTGTTTCTTTGTTTTTTGTGAAGCAATTGGAGTGAAGTGACTTGCCCACAGTCACACAGATAGTAAGTGTCAAGTGTCTGAGATGGGATTTCAGCTCAGGTCCTCCTCACTCTAGGGCAATGATCTATCTATTATTATCTCCATTGTTATCTGCACTTCACAGTGAAAGAAACTGAGGCAGAAGTGTGAGAGGCTGGATCTGAACTCAATTATTCTTGACTCCAGGCCTAATGCTCTGTCAATAGTGCTACATAGGGTCCTTTAAAATATTTGTTGAATTGAAATGAATTAGCAATAAACCAATGCACTGTTATGAGTATATTATGCAATGAATTTGTTATCAAGTATAAATGGTTGTAAGTGCATGTATTTATTTAAAATGAAATTAAATTGCTATTTAACATGAAATGCATAATAGTGTTTCAAAATTAGATATTTATAACCTATTACTTTCAAAAGAATTCTGCCTTGGCCCCTGCATGAAAGGACAATTTTTTTTTTCTCGCAGAGAGAGATCATTCAGGGACAGCATTAAGACTAATGTTCAGGGAACCCCAAAGAAGACAGGATTGTCTTGCCTAGAGTCTTGTCCTTGATATATTCCATTCCTTTACTGTAGTGGAGGAGTAGGAGAAGGAGGAGAAGGAAAAGGTCCTTCTATCTGATTGAACTTGTAAACAAAGGTGTCTAAGTTGATCTTTCCTCAGAGTCCCATGCCAACCTCGCCATCCACCATGCTAATAGGAGAAGTGGAACAAGAGACCATAGTTCTCAAATTTCTCACTCTTAGGTAAAAACTTATGTTCTTGTTGCTTCCCAAAAGAGTTGATTTTCATTGATTTTCTTCTTTCCTATCCCACCCCATACCTTCTACCAGTATCCTTTGCATTCTCATTGGAGTTCACACATTCTTCCAACAAGTAGAGAACTTTTCATAGGATGCACACTCTGTTGAAGAACTTGAGGAGTCATTTCATTTGACGTCATGTCTCCAAGCAGGGACACTCCTGAAAGCTCCTAAATCTGACCAGGGCTCTTCAGTTTGAGAAACCTATTTGACCTACATGCTTTCCCTGTCACTATGGAAATGCCCAATAAACTCTCCCTTAAACACTTTCCTAAAAGTGCCCTTTGCCCCCATATTTCTCATAGTAATGATGACAATAAGTATGATAATAATGAGAACAACAACAACAATAATAATGGAAGGCAGCAGGATTGTGTCTTGTCTCAAGACCATTTCTACCTGAGCCCCAACAGAAAAGATGAGAATAACAAGAAAATTACAACACCAAGAGTGAGACCATCAGAAGCTCTCTATTTGTTGTGGACAAACCAATGATAAATCCACATACTGAAAATGCAGACCTCAAAATATCCTTGAGAACTCAACCAATAAATGGTGATAGAATAATCATAGCATGAACACAGATCAAATGATTGTCCATAATTGCCTGGAAATAACATTGATTCATAAAATATTTAAATAATATTTTAATAGGTGTCTTTATGCCACATCATAGCCTCTAATCTATATGGAATGAGAAGCTATGAAAATACAGAAACATAGCAGAGGAGATGCAAATTGTGTGGGACCAGGATGAGGTGCCTGTCATTTCTGTCATGTTGTTTGCTGTTGAAGTCACAAAAGTATTCACTCAGTGAACTTCCAGGAGATGAATTGACATCCTAATCCCTTTATTCAACTATAAAATGTAGTTATTTTAGTTGCTTGTGTAGTAGTCCACAGAGTGTTAATTATATAAGACTAATATATTCTTGCTAATTGTTCCCAAGAATATTTCTATATAATCTTCGTTGAAAAAGACAAGAAAAAATAACAATAACAATCCCTTAAATCAAAAGAGTACTCTCTACACTGATGATCTCGGCCTACCCATGAGCAACTGATATTTTTCCAATTATTTAGATTTGACTTTATTTGTGTGAAAAGTGTTTTGTAATTGTGTCCATATAATTCTTGAGTTTGTTTAGGCAGGTAGACTCCTAAATATTTTATAATGTCTACAGTAACTTTAAATAGAATCTCTATCTCTTGCTGTTTGGCTTTGTTGGTAATATATACAAATGCTGATGGTTTTGTGGGTTTATTTTATATCCTGCAACTTTGCTAAAATATGAATTCCAAATCTTATGAATGTCATATCACTGAGATTTGGAGTGATGTGTTATATATCTGCACTAGAAGCTAAATCTAATTTACAAAGAAAAAAATAAAATCTACAAGATGTAGTCTTGTGGTGAAATTCACAATTAGAAGCGAGCTTGGGAGCATCTGAAGACTAATGCTGGGAGAAATGCAGAGGATCATGCTAGGAGAATACTATAGACCATAGAGTCAGAAACAAGAAATGCATAATGTGCTTGAGAAATAGAATATAAATGTGGCACATTGTCATGAGATGCTACTGATGGGGGCCTTTCACAGGATAAGTGTTGGAGATCTTTCTGCTAAAACCATAACAGACGAGAAATTCTTGCCTTACTAACAACTTTTTTACTTTCTTACTTTTTTTTCTTGATTTTTCAATGTATTTGATATTCTCTGTATCCATAATCCCCAACTTGCTACACAGAAGAGGGAAATAGTTTTAATTATCTGTTCCCTGGGGCCAATTTTAGTCATATTTTCAGCTTAATACAAATCTTTTTTTGACAAAAACTTTTATGTCATCAACAGCTTTCTCATCTTTGCTGAATTATCATTATCATGATAAAAGACTTGAGGACCTTGAGACTATGGATGCTCTCTAAGCGAGAATGACTCAGGCATTTTAATCAAAAGAGCAATCACGTATTGAATAATGATGATATACTTCAATACTTTGAAGGAGCTGTGATCTCTTTGATTTCAATTATTCCTCTACTGATACCTCTTGCCACTCCTCTATGGATAACTTCTTTCAAAGGTCAAAGGAACCTCTTCTACCTCCCTGATTCTAACAAATAAATAAGAAGAAACTGATTGTTGAAATAAAATTGATGAAGATCTTGGGAGGCAGTGACAACACCTTCCTAGCATTCATGATAGAAAAAGAAATGAAAGTGAGAACATTTCTGATTGCATCATAGATTTTTAGCGAATGAATGTCAAAGATTTCACAGAAGCCATTGATAGCATCCCATGTTCCATAATTCTACTAGGAAAATTCAATCAAGGGAAATTGAATGCACTTTGAAAAAAAAACAAAATTATGATGAAGAAGAAAAGGAGGGAAGCTGTTTAAAAGATAAATATGGTGACACAGGGTACTCATTTCCCCATTTAGTTTTTCCATGGGTATTTATAAAAGATGGAAGAATCTGGTAAGTAAAAGTGAATACAAACAAAGGCCAACATCAAACCAGGATGATTTTAGTGTCACTGAGATGAAACTGATGATGAATCCTCAGCACAATCACAAAAAGTTTTCTACTTTTTAAAGCTACATTTGACACAAGAGAAAGCTCAAAGAAAGAAGGGGATTACTTCTCAGAATGAATGGAATGGAGGTAAGAGAAGGCAGAACTACAGCTAGGTCCCAATCAATGTGAATAAGGAATCCAGCAAAGTGTCACATTATTAAAATTTGTGTTGCATATTTCTATTAGGCCAGAACAAATGGCCATTAAAAAACATAATTATAACTTCAAATGATATGAAAATGTTTCTGTTGTGGTATTGGAATATGGACATAAGGCACAGAAATGGTTAACAAAGAATGGAAGCCCATGTAAGATGGTAATTAGAGAGTTTCTGAGTATCTTAATAAACATAAATGAGTTGACATGGATTAAAATCTCAAGGTACTAAAAACAAACAAAGAAACAAATGATGACTTTGATGACTTATTACCAAGCCACTGACTGATCTCTGAAAAATAGTGGTGAATGAGAACTGCTGGTCTGGAAATGGACATATGACCCCATATTTTGTAAGGGAAGGTCATGGACACTTCATAACCTTTAGCCAAGGAGGTATATATGCATCATACTACTGTGAGGTAAGTGGTTTTTTTATCCTCCTTTTACAAATGAGCATACTGTGGCTTGGAGAAGTTGGCTTGCCCAGTAAGTTATCAAAGAGACTTTTGACTAGGTGTAGTTTGGACAATATAGCTTCTGTGTCCCACTTCAACCCTGAGATTCTGGGATTCCCTTCTCAAAATATATTCCTATTACAAGTTATTGAGGTTGCTGTAATAGTAATATCTGCTGTCTCCTTGGGAGTTCCCCATCCAATACCTTTCTGTTACCTCTCTCTCATTACATGCATACCTGACTGCCTCTTCTTCCTTGCTATGAAGGCCCCAGCACAGCTCAGCAGAAGAATGACAGCCAACACAATGCCCAGTGTCAGGACCCAAGGCTTCTCCCTTGTGGGCTTTTCAGGGACTATATGGAGAAAAGATAGAATATAAATGTGGGTACATTAAAGGAAAGAAGAGGGAAGGGAATGGAACTCCACTCTGGGAACTGGTCTCATTGAGGATGTGATGAGAATACCTGTATGAAGCACTAACCTGGATACACAGCAGGGGTCTTCAGCTCAATATGTTCTACCACACAAGTGTAACCCATCCCTGAGTCTTCTGGTGGGAGCTCTAAGGTAACTCGGAGGTAGAAAGTGGAATCTGCATTGGGCAGGGTGCCAGTGGAAGTCTCCTTTCCCCATACACCAAGCTTCCCATCCTTTTCCCAATGCAGTAGAATGGAGCGAGGGTAGAAGCCTGTGGCTGTGCAGGAGAGAATGATGCTGCCTTCTCGGTTGACACGGCGAGATACGGTCACCTCAGGGGGCACTGGGAGCAGAGATCAAGAAAGAAGGCCTCATGTCACAATCTCAGTGAGTGTTTGGTGCTTCCATTGTGTCTACCTTTACTGATGTCCCCAATCTCCTTTATGCTGCATCTCTTATCCTGTTGGACCCACTGGACCCTTTAGACCCTTGAGAGAAGCATGATAGCTTATCTCCATTTGTATCTCCTTGGACCCCTAGAAGAGTATTATGTAAACACTAGTTATAGAGTCAACATCTGTTGGTGTTGATGACCACATCACCAGCAACTTTCTAAACCCTCTTCAAGTAGTTTGGTCAGCTATAATGGATTAAGAACAGAATCTTCTTCAACAGGCCAATATTCCATATGGTCCATGAGTTCATCAGTGTCTGTCCTTCTAAAAGTGAAGATTGAAGACAGTCTATGCTTACTAGACTTTCCTTTATGTGTTTCTTTCACTTCCCTCCCAAACCCCAACAAAAAAAATCAAACATTACCTGGTGTCTGACCTCCTGGTGATGATGTTTGACATTTGGCTAGATGGTCACTAGACAGCAGGCACAAAACGTATCATTCCTGAGGCTGTACATAAGGTTTTTCTGACTTGGTAGGACACAACAGAGTATTTTTAGCTTTCATAGCCTTTGAGCTCCTAGGGTCCTTCTCATGCCTTTATGAGGCAGGCAGGAGGAGATTAACTTAAACAAAAGAAATAAAGAAAGATGGAAGGAAAGACAGAAAAAAAGAAGGAAGGAAAGAGAAAAAAGAAAGGAGGGAAAGTAGGAAGGAGGGAAGAAAAATGACAGAGAGAAGTGAAAGAAGGAAAGAAATAAGAAAAAGTAGAAGAAAAGAAAGAGGGGGAAATGGACAAAAAGAAAGAAGGAAAGGAAGATAATTAGGAAAGAAAGAAGGAAGGATGGCAAGGGAAAAAGAAAAAGAAATAAGAAAAGAAAGGAAGAACAAAGAAAGAAGGAAAAAAGAAATACTCTCAACCTTTCTCACATTCTCTGATTCCCCCCATCATAAGTTGGAGTGATGGTTAGAAACTATGGATCCTGCCTGTTTCTCTAGGGCTCCAGTTACTACACAGAAAAATAGGGGTGACCTGGACCTCCTGGGAGGAGATGGGAAGACGCAAACACTCACCATTATCCCTTAAGCTTGAGAACCCAGCGATTTTCCTCAGCAGGTCAACACAATAATAATTCATGTAGCGTTTCCTTAGATCAGTCCAGAAGGGACTCTCTAGAATGAACTCATATTTCTTGAATTCAGGCTTTACATTCTCCCAGTACCCAACTTCTTCATCTATCCTGTAATATTCTTCTCCTTCCCAAATTAAATGGACAAGGCTCTTCACCTTGATGTCATTGTCTATTTCACAGTCTGCAAGGAGCTGCCCTGTGTAGTTTCCTGTGGAGGAACATTGGGGTGGCCTCTTCTGGGACTGGTGAAGAGACAGAGATCAGTAACTAGAATCAGCTGCAGCCCATCCCTAAACTGTGGGCATGAATGAGGGCATGGAGAGTACAGTTCTAATGATTAAGAAAGTTTGGAAAGTAGTGAAAGTTCTTGGGCTGAAGGCAGTGGTGTCTTAGAAGGAATATAGAAGTAGATGGTGACCCAGGATTGTGAACCAAGTGGATGAAGCCTAGGGTTCAGGGATGAATTCTTTTTTGTTTTTAATACTTTTTTTTTTTACAATTGGGGGAAGTGAATTGCCCAGTTTGACAACTTGGGTTAAGTGACAGCTAGTAAGTGTTAAGCGTTTGGTCTTAGGCCAGATTTGAACTCAGGTCCTCCTGACTTCAGGGCTTGTGCTCTATCCAGTGCACCACCTAGCTGCCCCTAGGTACAGATTCTTTAATGCTCATTCTCCAGGTTAGCAAATGACAATGGACTGGGACCCTTTCAGTGGTAAGATCTACTGGGGATGGATCTATTTTACTTGGAGAAGAAATAGACAAGGTATGATGAAAAGAGGGATAGGGGAGATGAGTGGATCTGACTTACTGTTGTCGTAAGTGTCATTCTTTGGAAAGTATTGGAAGATCCAGTTGATATCTTGCTCGTGGAACATGAATAAATTCTGTATCTCGGTGAGGGAATCGACTCCCAATGCTATAGAGAGCCAGGGTATCTTGATAGTAATTTGCTGGTCTATATTGTTGTAGGATGCCACTTGAATATCATCCATGAAGCTGATTTCCCTTAGTTCCAAGAGAGAGTGGGCCGAGCCCACTACAGTGAACTGAGCCACATGCTTGTGGTGTACTGAATTATTGGAGGGAAGAGAAGAAGAGAACGTGGTGATTCAGGTTCCCAGAGGACCAGTGTTTTCTCTAATTCATTCCTTTGCCCTTCCTCTGCCCTTCCCATCAGTAAGGGCAGCTATGCAAATGACTCCAACTCTCTCTCTCTCTGTCTGTCTCTCTGACTGTCTCTCTCTCTCCAAGCATCACCAGCTAGGTGGTGCAGCATATAGAATGCAGCGGATAAAGTGCTGTGATTGTAGTCAGGAACAGCAGAGTTTAAATCGAGCAAGCACCCAGGTATGCTGGGTAACCCTGGGCAAAACACTTAAGCTCTTCAGTTTTGTTATACAGAAAACAGGCATAGTAATGACACTTACCTCTCAGGATTCTTGTGATGATCAAGTGATCAAGTGAAACATTTGTAAAGCAGTTACCCTAGTGCCTGGCACAATGGAGGGGATTAGTAAATGCTTATTTGACAAAAAAAAAAAAGCCTATCTTTAGAATATTCCAAATTAGATTGTCTAGAGGTAGCTGAAACACAACATGTCAAAACCAGAATTCATCATCTTTCTTTCTAAACCCACTTGTTTTCCTAATTTTCTATTTCTGTCAAGAACACCACTAGTATTCCAGTGACTCAGGTTTGTAATTTCAGACTCATCCTCCAATCTTCCCTTTCCCCCTCTTCCTCTAATATACCACCAGTGGCCAAGTGCTATTGATTCCATCTCCACAACTTCTGTCACATCCATTTCTTTCTCTCCATTTACACACCCCCACCCTAGTTCACCCTCATCACCTTTCACCCAGGCTGTTGCAATTTCCTCCTCATTGGTTTCCTTCTTCAGACCTCTCCCCTCTCCAATCAGTCCTCCCCAATCTTCCCATTTTCTATTCCTAAGGACATCACTTCTTTTCTCTAAAGAGTTCTAGTGGACACCTAAGGCTTCTAGAATAAAATAGGAATTCTTCCAGCTAATGACACTCAGCACCATTCACAGCCTGCATCCAGCTTACCTTTGGAGGCTTATCTCATAGTCCTCCCATTCATGCATTCAGCAATCCAGCCAGGCTGTCCCACTTACCATCATCACACCCAACATTCCATCCTGCAGGTCTTTGCTGAGACTGTCTGCCCAGCCTGGAATGGGATCTCTCATCATTTCCAGCTTTGAGAATCCCCAAGTTTCTCTAAACTACAGCTCCAGGTCCACCTCCTACGATGTTTTCCCTAATTCCTATAGGTGCTAATTGCCTTACCGCAATGAGAATTTGATTTGTATTTACTTAAACCTACAATAATGATTTATTTCCAATCATCTGCACGTTTCTGTCACAGAGTAGGGAATTTATGTGGAATGATAGAAAGAGAATTGACTTTGGAATCAGAAGAACAAGGTTTGGATCCCATTTCTAATAATAATTGTGTGACTTTGGCAAAGTCACACAACTCCTTTGGGCATCAGTTTCCAAATTTGTAAAATGACAAGGTAAGACCATATGACCTTTCAGGAACCTCATTGTTGTCCTATACATGCCATCCTCTTCACTCACACAGCCCTGACTCTTGCTTGGGCCCTGTTATCTCTCACCTACAACAGCCTCCTCACTGATCTCCCTACCTCAAGCCTCCTCTCTTCCATCCATCCTTGCCTCAGCTACCAACATGATTTTTCTAAAGCACTACTCATGCTATCTCACTCTCCTCATTAATAAACTCCAACATCCCTCTTTTATCTCCATGATAAAGTTCTTTGCTCAGTATTTAAAATCTTTCAGAGAATGAATACTTCCAGTCATTCTAATTGAGAGTATTACATTTTACTCCCCTCCACTAATCCGACTTCCCAATAGCAGCTTACTGGCCATTCCCCACACTTGCCCTTTTCCACCCACCCCCCCGCCTTTGTCTTGACTGTTCCCTGTGCTGGAATGTTCTCCATTCGTACCTCCACTTCCTGGCCTCCCTGGACTCCTACAAGTCTCAGATAAAATGTCACCTTCAGGAAGCCTTTGCTGGTGCCCACAATTACCAGAGCTTTCCTCTCCAAAGCTTCCTTTCATCTATCTGTATGTATCTTATAGGCATCTTTTCATTTACTTGCTGTCTCCCCCAGTAGAGTGTGAGCTTCTTGGAGGCAGGGACCAGGTTTTATTTGATTTATTTTTTGGTATCCCTACCACTTAGAACACTAGTTAGCTGCACCATACAAATTGTTCAATAAAAGCTTGTTGACTGACCACCTGGGTGACCTGAAGCCCCCTGAGCACAGTGACTGAGTTTCCGCCACCAGACACAAATCTCCATGGTCTTTCCCCTATTTGCATAACTTCTTTGCCCCTAGACTTACCTGCCTGGGTGTCTCTCAAAGTAAATGCCCCAAGAATAAGAAGCCAGGCTGAAGAGAGCCATCTCGACCTCCTCTGATACTCCATGAAGATTTAGGCCCTATATTCTGTGTCCCAGACACTGCCTAAATGGGAACTGAGGCCTCCTATGTACATATCATGGCCCCCTACTTCTATCCCCACCCAGGCATGGATTGGTTCTGCTAAGGCCCTGCCCTCCTCTCATCATCACCAGTTATGCCTGTCATGAGGCAAAAACTTTTCCTGCCTAGCACATATGAGAGAGGAAGTGAAACCGAGTTCATAATGAAGTCAGTGCGCTCAGAGCACAGTCATCACCAAGTACTGTCTCAGAGGCCCAGAGATGGGCTGGTTCAACAATGACCACTCAGCTGTCTTCCTAATTTTCACTGAACCTAGAAATGCTTAGATCTGAAAGGATCACCAGGGAGCCTTCATTCTGGAGCAGAGATATAGGGAAGAGATCCCATTCCCCCTTTCCTCACACTGCCCTCAGGGAGCCCCTGGTAGAATGGGAAGGTAGAATCCCTGTCCTCAGGGAGTCCCTGAATTGATGGGGCAGATTTCAATGGGGCTAACAGTCTGAAAGTGTCACATTAACTATGACAATAATGAATATTGCCCTTTAAGGTTGGCAAGGGACTTCTTATGTTTTATTATCACATCGATCCTCATAAGCTGTGAGGTAGGCACAATTATTATTCTTGTTTTTCAGATAAGGAAACTGAGACTGAGAGGGATTAAATAACTTTCCCAGGGTGACCCCACTAGTGACAGTCTAAGGAATTGACAGAGAAGTCACCCTGCCTTTGTTGACATTCTTGACAGTGTTTCACACTGCTTTTCAATTCTGATTAGTTATATTTCCTCTCCATGTGGCCTGCAGACCCTGGGTTCTTTTCCAGAATCTTAGCTGGCAACTCCTAGTGTTTGTAGACTCACCATGTGGATGTCTGGCTTCCTCCACTGTGACTGTGGGGTGTTTCACCCTGGCTCATCCCTGACGCTGAGTCTGCATCACCAACATATAGCACATCACTTGTCACATAGCACGGACTTATTAAATTCTTGTTGATTGAGTGAGCATATACAGTGTAAAATCTGTGGGGTCATTGCAGATGGCTCATGGACATTCAGTCAAAAATCCACGTACTTACTGTCCAGAGTCCAAAGCAGACCTAATTATCTTTCTCCCAGAACCCTCCCCTGTTCCCACTCTCATTATTACTCCTGAAGGCACTTCTATCCTCCAAGTTCCCCAAGCTGGCAGCCTCAGGGTCATCCTTGACTCCTCCCTGGCATTCACTCTTCATCTCCAATGTGTTGTTGATACTGGCCATTTCTACCTTCTCTACATCTCCTATGAATCCTCCATATACCCACAACCCTTAAAAAGTCCCTTATCACCTCTCACCTAGATCACTGCAGTAGCCTACTCACCGAACTTTCTGCCTCAAGTCTCTCCCCACTACATTCTATCCTTCACACCAGTTCTACCCATTCACTTCTGAGTCTCTAGGAGTGAGGGGTGATGACCATTTGTCAGTGTGTTATATTTGGGATTCTTCTTTAAGTCTGGATTGGTCTAGGTGGTAATTGAGGCTCCTTCTAAATCTGAAAGTCGATGATTCTATAAACGGAGGAGTGAGCCTAGGGAGTCCTGTTTATAGCAGACTAGTGTACCTGTGGAGGGACTGGTGTCCTAGGATATTACTGGATGGTTTCCCCCTTGCATCTATGCTTGTGATCCTTCATTGTTTCTAGGTCCCTGTGAAAGCCTTCTGAGCCAGTACATGCTTTATGTTGCCTGGGTTCTTCATCAGAGGACACCAATTGGCCTAGAAAAAGAGAGAATGACTCTGGCAATGCTAGTTAGAATGAAGGTTTTAACAGATCCTTTGGAGTTCTCTTTATATTATCTGGGGCATGCCTTTATCAGACAATGATCACAGGACTTTTCCATTATGAGATCAGAGTAAGCAGACACTTTGTGTGCTGAAGAAACCGATCTGGGTTAATTCTTCTCATTTTTATAAGTAGTATCACAGTTTGCTATGGAGTTATTTTAACTATCTAAAAAATTGTGAATCTATGAACTATGTCCAGAGAGGTTCATCACAAAGTTGGGTAAAAGGGATAAATTTTTTGGCCAACCAAATTATAAAAGCCTATCTGATAAGGCATTGTAGGATTATACTCTATGCCACTGGAAAAAGAACCGTTATCAATTAGATCATAATTCTTGAAGCATTTAAGGAAATCTTGTTTCACATCAAGTGTGCAAGTCTTCATATGCTCTTTAGAAAACCTGGCACCAAAGCCAAGAATCAAGAATCATCCTTCTACATTGTGAGAAAACAAAGTGTACTAATGCATTGTTTTTGGAGCTATGAATTGGTCCAAACATTCTAGGAAGCAATTCGTAATTATGCAGATGAAGTGATGAAAATCTCCATGGTCTTTGACACAGAGATCCCCACTGCCAGGCATATATACTCCAAAGAGGTCAAAGACACAAGGAAAGTTTGCATATGGCAACTTTGTACCATCATTGTAACTGCAAAGAAATAGACATACCATAGATGCCCATGTATTCAGAATATGTTGCGGTATTATTGTGCTGTAATTAACAATGAGCATGACAAATACAGAGAAATCTCGGAAGACTTATATGAATTGATCTAAAATGAAGCAAATAGAACCTGGAAAAAATTAGACACAATGACTTTTGTTGTTGTTCAGTTGTTTTCCATTGTGTCCAGCCCTTCCTGACCCCATTTGCTATTTTCTTGACAAAGATACTGGAGTGCTTTGCCATTTCCTTCTCCAACTACTTTTATAGAAGAGGAAACTGAAGTACACAGCATTTAGTGACTCACCCAAGGTTACACAGCCAGTAAGTGCCTGAGGCAGGGTCTCCCTGACTCCCAAGCCCAAGTCCAGCACTCTGTCCTCTTCTCCACCTTGGAACAGAGCTGCTTTTATAGTTGGAGTCTTCTTACTCTGAAGCTGTTGTTTTGTTGTTTCAGTCATGTCTGACTTTGTGACCCCACTTGGAATTTTCTTGGCAAAGATACTTGGACTTTGCACCATTTCCTTCTCCAGTTCTTTTTACAGATGAAGAAACTGAGACAAACAGGGTTGAGTGACTTATGGTCACCCAGCTAGTAAGTGTCTGAGGCCAGATTTGAACTCAGATCTTCCAGACTCCAAGACTGGTGCTCTATCTACTGTGTCACTGCATCTGCTGTTCCTGCTTAAGGGAGAAAATATGTCCAGGAAAAAAGTCCCACACATCAGCCAGAGTGTTCTCTTCAGGGCCCTCTAACCTGATGAAGCCTTTCTCAGTGTTGATGAATGTGGAGGGGCAGGCGGCTCACTGTTAAGTATAGGGCTTTGTATGGGAATTCCCCTTTGGTTCACCCCACAGTGTGGTACAGTCATTTCTAGCAAATACATCCTCAGAATAAGATGCAAATCAACTTATCTTTACCCAGACAGAAAATGATAATAACCATAATAAATTTTTAAATAGTGATTTAAAATTTGCCAGAGCTTTACATGTGGCATCTCATTTAACACTCATAATAACCCTGAGATTAGGTGCTGTTATTATGTGCATTTTGCAGATGAGAAAACTGAGACATGGTTAAGTGACTTGCACAGGGTCAAACAGCGAGTGTAGGAGGCAGAATTTGAATTGAGGTCTTGCTGACTCCAAGGCCAGTGCTCAGTCTGCTGTGCACCTATCAGCCTGTTATAAAAGTACAAACAGCAAAAAGACATTATTTAGGGTTAAGTGATATTCATTCACCCAATAGAATGAGTCAAGGGAGGGAAACAATGGATTATCACTAAGTCCCAGTGGAGGCAAAGTAACGAACTCCGTCCTAACAGTTCACTCCTGAAGAACATCAGTAAAAGAAACTCCAAACAGCTCACGATTCTGTTCAGTTAGAGGCAGCCGTACTCTGGCTGCTGGCACTGGTGTGCACCTGCACCCCATGGTTCCTCTCCTCTCCAAGGCACACCAGTCACCCCACCCACCCTTGCCACAGATTCTACCTTCTATCATCCTTCAGTCTCTCCTTTGATCTGGAAAAACAAAAACAAAACATTTCTCATCAGCTCTCTTACCTATAAGACATCAGATTTTTTTTTCAGAATCATCTAGGTAAGTGTTGAGAGCAGCCTCGGTGAGGCTATTAGTTAGGAATAGGAAACTCTCCTAAGTCACATTTCAGGTGGGACCACAGTTTCGCTATCACAGGGTTGATTGAAAAAAAAAACAGAAAGAAGAAAAGCCTATGGCAGGGATGAACTACCTTTGAGAATGTGAAAAGCCCTACTGATAATCATAAACTTCTCATAGAAACAAAGGGAATCTTTTTCATTCCATTCTGCTACTAATGTTCTGTGGCTAGAGGTCGTGGGATAGGACACTCCCTGGAGGATGAAAATGAGTATCACTCATGAGATATTGAGTTCATTCCCATGGTGGGTATGAACAGGCTGCAATGGGTATTAAATAAGGAACCATGAAAATCTACAAAGAGGTAAAAATTTCATCAAGGAGTCGTCCACCGGTAAACATTTATTAAGCACCAGGTGCTACACTAAGGAAATGATCAAAAAAGAAATTAGGCTGCTCACACGATGAAAACTAAGAATACCATTGGGTAGCTTGTGTGCTCCACTCATGAACTCATTATCAGGAGAAATTGAGCATGTGAGGCTGCTGTGGCAAACTCGGAGGAGTACCTGGCCAAGAGTAAGTAGATGGACAAGATGGCTGGCTTACAATCCATGTTGCTAGAAGGAACATCCACATTACCAATAGCAGAACTCATTAACTTTATCTCCAAATCTACACTTGTTATGAATTTTCCTGTTACTGTCAAAGGCACCACCATCCTCCCACTCATCTAGGTGTTACCCGCATCTCTTCATTTGTACTTGCCCCACGTATATACAATCAGTTGCCAGATCTTGTCATTGAACCTTCACAACAGCTCTTATATATCCCCCATCTTCAATACTTACCCAGCCACTCCTATAATTCAGGCTTCCAGCACCCCAAATCCTGTACCCCTTATAATACCTAAATGAGAAGGTATATATACCTTAGAATATATATATATACACACACCCTGTATATACAATGGCTCCTTACCTTCT